GCGGGCCCCGCCGCACCGCTCCCGGTGCCCCTCCCGTCCCTGTCCTGTCCCCGTCCCCGCCGCACCGCTCCGCTCCCGGTGCCGCTCCCGTCCCCATCGCCACCGCACCGCTCCCGGTGCCGCTCCCGGTGCCGCTCCCGTCCCATCGGTGCCGGTCCCTCTGTGCCGGTGCCGGTCCCGCCCCGTCAGTGCCGCTCCCGGTGTTCATCCCGTCCCGTCCGGTGGGCGCGGATGGCGGCGGGCCCGTGGCTGCTGCTGGCCGCGGTTCTGTGCGCGGCTGCAGAGCCGTCGTGCCCGGCGGGCGCGGAGCGGCGGCTGCTGGAGGAGGTGGCCAAGAAGCAGCTGCTGGAAAAGCTGAGGCTCCGCGAACGACCGCGGCTCGCCCACGCTGTGCCCCGCGCCGCCGTGGCTCGAGCCCTGCGGCGGCTGCAGGCGGGAGGCGCCCGGCGGAGCCCCGGTGTTACCGGCGAGGAGGAGGAGCAGGGCTACGAGATCATCAGTTTCGCGGAGACAGGTGGGTGCGCGACCCCCGTAGGCGCCCACGCGGTGTCCGAAGGGGCACGGTGAGCCCCGGGGCGAGGGGTCGGTGTCCTGCGCCCTGGGGACGCCCAGGGACGCGCAGCCCCGCGGGGTGCGGGGACCCGGAGCCACGCGGGCTCGGGGGTAACTCGGGAGTCACCGCGCCTGTCGCGCATCGGTGACATCCCGGTGCCGCTGCTGCGAGAGGGCTCAGCCTGGGAGGGGGAGGTGGTCCCTCTCCTGCTTCTGCCTGTGGGAGCGCTGCACCCGAGGGGCTGCAATGCCGGTCTCCCGTCTCCCCAGAACATGAGGCTCCTCAGGGTGCCTGGGACTCCCGAGCTGGGAGCTGCAGGATTAGCTTGGGGGGCTGGAAACACTTTCCAGCCTCACCCCGTGAAGAAGGGTCAGGCGAGAGCAGGCTCCCCTTCTGCCAGGAGTGTGGGACAGGCCCCCATTCCGGAGCCTGCATTCCCGGGAAAGGGTGAAGGACAGACGAAACTGGAAGTTTTGACTCGCTGGATGGCCGGGGAGCATCCCTCAGCGCTCACCTCCTCATCCCTTTCTCCCCTCAGATCTCACATCTCCCTCCAGTTTGGGGCTGCAATTCCAGTTCAGCCAGGCGCAGGACCAGGACATTCGCATCCTGCAGGCTCAGCTCTGGCTCTACCTGCGAGTGCCCCGGGCCAGCCTCACCCTGAGGATCTTCCTGGCCGGTGAAGCCGGGGCCGTGACGGGGGGCAATCGCACTCTGCTGGGGGAGAGGCGGCTGAGCTCGGCGGGCAGCGGCTGGAGCTCCTTCCCCCTCCTGCCGGCCCCGCGGAGCTTCCCCGGGGGGCAGAGCCGGAGCCTGCGGCTGGAACTGGAGAGCCACGGGGATGGCAGCGATGTCATGGCACAGGTCAATGCCAGCCGGTCCCACCAGCCCTTCCTGGTGACCAAGGTGAAGGTGAGGGAGCCCGAACACCGCGTGGCCAAGCGCAGCCTCCGCTGCAGCCAGAACTCCAACCTGTGCTGCCGCAAGGATTACTACGTGGACTTCCGCGACATCGGCTGGAACGACTGGATCATCAAGCCCGAGGGCTACCAGATAAATTACTGCGTGGGCCAGTGCCCTCTGCACGTGGCAGGCAGCCCTGGCATGGCCTCTTCCTTCCACACGGCCGTCTTCAACCTCGTCAAAGCCAACAACATCCAGGCGTCAGGGCATTCCTGCTGCGTGCCCACGCGGCGCCGGCCGCTCTCCGTCCTCTACTTCGATCGCAACAGCAATATCGTCAAGACTGACATTCCCGACATGATTGTTGATGCTTGTGGCTGTAGTTAGGGCTGGGGCAGCTGTGCTGGGACCCCTTTTCTCCAGGACCGTCCCTCTGGTGGAGCGGGAGGGAGCTGGAGAGCTCCATGAGCCGGAGTCAGCCCTTGGTGCAATGGACTCCTTTGGAAAGGTTGGGAGGGAGAGGATCTCACTGGGGGGAGCAGGGAATCTGCAGAGAGTTCCTGGAGCAGGGGGCTCTGGGGACATGGGACAGAGCCACAGCCACACTGGACTGCCCAGGCCTGGGCTGTGCATGTTGATGACTCTGGACATCCCTGCCTGCACTGTTCTCAAGCTGATCCCGCACTCCTGGTGCTGTGGGGGCCCCGTTTGGTTCACATTCAGTGTCTGATGAGTGGTTGGGACGGGGCTTCCTTGGGGGCAGAGTGGGATGCAGAAATGGAGCTGTTTCCTCCACATGGGAATCTGGAGGACAAAGCAGTCCTGCTTGCTTCCCTTCTGGAACAAACCTTCCTGCATCCAACTCAGGCCTGCTTCTGGGGACAGATGGAATGGGGCACAAATAACAGGCCTGGGAGAGGAGGATGAAGGGTACAACTTCATCACGAAACTCAAAACATCAGTGACTGGACAAAGTTCTCAGATCCCTGGAGAGTGTGGAGCTGTGAGGACCAAACTTGGAGGTCCTGTGTTCTCCCCCTGTCCCAGGGTTTGTGCTTTCCTCCCCTGCTCCCACCCACCAGCCGGGTCTCCTCCAGCCTGGTGCCTCCATAAGGGGGGGTCTGCCTCAAACTTTGCCTTCAAGACCTCACTCAAGGAACAGATTTGGTTTGTGCCACTGGTTTTGCAGCTGTTCCTACTTTCTCAGTTCCTGCAGCTGTTGGGACACCCTGGTGCTCCATCCTTTGCTGAAGATCCCACTCTGCCTTCCCCCTTCTTGTGCACCCACATGACCTCCTCTTTAATTTATTACACAACATTTTGGTGCAGCTTCCCAAATAAACGGGTGGAAATGCAAGATCCAGGCTCTGGCTGCTTTTTCCTGGGACCACCACACAGATGGGGTGAGGGAGAGGGGTCCTGCTTGACCAGAAGGGCCCAGATCCCTCAGGGACTGGGGCAGGAGTAGCGCAGGGGCTGCACATCACTGCCATAGTGGAAGATGTGGGAAGCTGGGGGGTTTGAGGGGCTCCTGGAGTGCTCACGAGGCCTCTGCAGGGGGGTCCTGCCTCAAATGGGGTTCCCAGGAATCAAGCAGGGGCTGGGAATCAGGTACCACCTCACTGGGGTCTGCAGTGGGAGCATCAAAGCTGTGTCCCAGCAGGGCAGGTACTGGGAGGCATCAGCCAACGGGGAGATGCTGTTCTCCACCTGGAGCAATCCCAGATGGAGCTCTGGTCACTCTGGCTCCAGGGGGGTGATTCCAAATGCTGAGCCACAACCCAGCTCCAAATCCTGGGCCCCACTGCAGACCCCCTGACGATGTCCCACCTCCCTAATCCCCCTCACGTGCTCCCCAAAACACCACCCAGAGACCCCAGCCTCAGCCCCATCGCAGACAGAGGGTCTGGTGGGTGATGGGGAGTCTCCTGCGGGATTTGGGGTGGGATGCTCCTGGAGCAGGAGGCAATGCCCCCTTCTCATCCCGCTGAGATCCCACACGCTGGCCTGGCTCCCCGTTGCGCAAGCACCCGCTCAAAGCTCAGTTTGGGGCTGTTTTATCTGGGGACAAACCTCCTTGATTTCCCAGCTTGGCCCTGCCAGCGATCAAAGGGCGGCTTTCATCAGCCAGTGCAGCGGGCAACCCCCGGCAGCCGGGGCACTGCGGCCATCACCCCGCTCCCAAAATATCCCTGCCGTGGGCAAAAGCCAACGGCGGCTGCAGGATGCCTCGGCCTCCTGGGTGCTCCCACAGCCCCAGTCCGTGTCCTGGGGGCACGTGCTGCCGTGCACACGCTGGGAGCTGCATCTCCAGGAAGCACATGGAGATGTGTGCGGTGCCTGGAGAGCCTCCCCGTTCCCCTCCCAAATCAGCGTTTCGGTACAGAATGCATCCAGCCACGTGGAGCATCCCACCCAGGCAGCAGAAATGTGTTTTCTGTTGCCAGTGAGGGAGGTTTTCCTCCGTTTTCCCCGTGGCAGTGAGTGTGTTCTCGTGTGGAGGGGCTGTCCACACGCGATGTGCTGACTCACTGACACACTGACACGCTGCCCCCACACCGAGGTGCTGAGCTGGCCACGGTGGCACCGGTAAATCCCTCACCTGGGGCATCATCTGGCCCTGCTCTGAGCTGCTTTGACTTTCCCAAACAGGAGATCTGGATTATTGGCGAGATGAGGGATGTGGCAGGGTCGGGCTGTGGTGGTTGAGAGCTGCTCCGAGGGGCTGCCCAGGTGTTGGTTCCACACAGGGGCTGGGAGCTGGTGGCAGAAGGGACCTGGGACAGTCTCGCCCATGGTTCCGTCAGGAGAGGGGGGTGGGCTCGGGGCGAGTCCCCGGACCCCAAGCAGCTTATCCAGGGTCACACTCATGCCAGGGGTAAAGCTGCTGAGCCGCTTATGATCGTTACAAAACGGGGGTGGAGGCGGTCCCTCACCTGCGCCCACCCTCTCACCTGCGCCCACCCCCTCACCTGCACCCACCCCTCACCTGCGCCCACCCTCTCACCTGCGCCCACCCCCTCACCT